TCGTTAGTCTATAATTACAACCTGGGAATTCCACCCTCTATCAGCAAGGGAATAGACTCATTCCTAGGCCAGGCCATTGCCTTTCAGAGCTGTGATGGGAGGGTCCAGGGTGAGGGGCCTTTGGGGTTTCACCAGATCTTTACTTTGAAAAGAAAAAGAAAGTTTGTTTTAAGTTTTCTGGAGCCATTTTTCACTTGATCAGAATTCGGAAGGAGATTAAAAAAGCCATCAGTTTGCAGTTCAGTGGAAAGCAGCACGGCGTCATAACGAGTCATGAATAATAAAAAAGCAGCAGTGGCGAAGGACGCAGGTTTTTCCAAAGCCACGCAGAGCTTGGAATCCCAAACGGCTGTTCTGAATCTCGAACCCTGGGGAGTGGAACGGGCCAATCTAGAACCCCAGCTGCCGGACGGGATCATTCTAGAACTCGATGTTTTCCGGTGTTCCGTGGAGATTCCCTGCTGTTCAGGGGGTAAAGGTGGTGTCAATAAGCATGGCTCCAGAGATGCTGAATTTATACCAGCCAGGGACTTGGCCCTCAGTCCCCAGCAGGTGACTCTCTGACCAGTTATTTTCAATGGCTTCTGAATGTAACTGTGATGGCGCGTTGGGGGTCCCCCGTCTCCTGGAAATGGCACAAACAGAGACTGCACCAGCCGGTGGAATAGAGGAAGTTTATTGCCTCTCCAGGATACAGCACAGCACAGATGTAATCTGGTCACAGAGCTGGGCTAGGATGCCTCAGGCCCCCTTGAGATGGGGGAGACTGGGCCCCTAAATTCCAGCCCCTTCCCCTAGGCTCTCCTCCATGCTCTCAGACAGCCAGCAACTCACTAATCAACTTCCAGCCCTGCCCCCCAGCCAGGGCAGCATTCCACCTTCCTTTGTTCCTCTCCATGGGGGGTGTCTGGCCACTGGTTTGCATAGTGACTCATCCTGTTTTGCTGGGTCGTGGTACCCACAGCAGCCAGTGGGGGTTACCCCAGAGCCAGCAGCATAGAAACCAGCCAGGTACCCCCACTAGCTGCTCTGCAGTGCCCAGCTTCAGTTTTTGGCCCCTAATCTGGCCTGGGGACCAGGGGCTTGTCACTTAACTGAGGAGCAGCAGCCAGGGCACAAAGAGAGGTGGGCTGTTGGGGGGCACAGCTCACCCAATATTCTAACTTTAACTCCTCTCAAAAAGCAGGAGCAAACTGCATTTACAAAGACACACCTCAGGGAGGCTGGTGCCACCCCCATTGACCATCCTATGGCAGGCCTGTGAGCTAGAAGCCCTGAGCTTTGGCACCCACTGTGGGGCTGGAGCGTGAGCCCCAGCTCGCCTGCTGTGGGGGAAGTCTCTTCCCTTGGGTGAGTCAGGGTGGGTTTTGGTTTTTTGCTTCCCACTTTAGGAGTAGGGTTGCCAGGTGTCTGGTTTTGAACCAGACAGTCTGGTATTTGAGCTTTCTGTCTAGGAAACAAATTGAGAAAAAAATGGACATATAAGTGTCCGGTATTTTCTAACTAAGTTTTTATTATCACGAGTATCAGTACATAGTTGCGTACTGCCTGGCTAGTAGACACGCTCACGCTGCACAAGCATGTCTACCAGCCAGGCAGCATGCAACTGCGCAGTAGAGAGGAGGGGGCCGGGATGGAATTCCCAGGGCCAGACTGACTCATGTGTGGGACTGTGCATGGGACGGGCAGCACCCTGGGACCTACGTGCGCCCGGGCCAGCCCTGCTCCTCCCCAGCCAGTCCTCCCCTCACCCCCCAATCTCCCTTGGCCAGCCCTGCTCCCCTCCCGGCCAGTCCCCCCCAATCTGAGATCAAGTGTATCCAGTATTTTTTTTTTAAACCATCTGATAACCCTACTTAGAAGCACTGGGCACAGGTGAGCAGTGAGGTGTTGGGAATTTTTCCTTGTGTGTGGCCCCGGCTGACTGTACTGTGGGTCTGTGAACCCTGACCAAAAAAAGATTCCCTACCCCTGGGGTACTGGGGTAGGGTTAGGGTTCCTTACCCCTGGGGTACTGGGTACCGCTGCTGTTTCCTGGGGAACACACTTTGTGCTTTACTCCCACTCTCCACACGGTGTCAGTGCTGGTCTATGGGAGAGACACTTGATGCACTATATGGACTGGTCACAGCATGTCTGTGCTGGTCCATGGGGGAGAGACTCTGAATTATCCTGACTGGCCCCCAGCACTGGCAGGGCTTGCAGGAGCAGGAGCAGTAGCCACCCCGAAGTTTGCCTTCACCCTCGGAGCTGCCCCTCCTAGCAGGGGGGTGAAATGTTTGGCAGATTCTGCTTTGCTGCTGACCTATTCAGGCCCAGCCCCTTGACCCTGCCCGCTGCGCTTGCTGCTGTCTGGGGGTTCTGCTGGCCCCAAAGCCAGGACCCCACATGTAAGCGCTGCTGTAAGCACCAACATAGAGCTGTCCAGAGCAGTGCTTAGGTCAATGTAACCTATGTTGCTCGCGGGTGGTTTATTCACAACAGATGTTTTTTGATGTGAGCTGTAATGGAGCCCTAGTCTGAGACACAGGTGCTATCACAGGGCTGACTCACCACCATGGTGCCTCCAGCTGGTTGCTTCAGGAATTAGCTTGATGACTGGCTGGAAACCTCCCTCTAGCTGGTGTCTCCCCATGTTTCTCTTTGACCACGGTGTTGTCTTCAGGACACGGCCCTCCGGCACTGCCCACGCCAGTGTCCGAGCCCCTCTTCTGGGGGTTGGTGTTTATCCTGCTTGCATTCCAGGGTCCTCCCCTCCCCAGGGCACCCTGTTCTCCTCTCAGGGAACACCTAGTTCCCCTGGACCCACTTTGCCTCATTGACCCACTGCCAGTCTTCATCTAGCCCTTGTCTCGGGGCAAACTGCAGTTTGCAATGACCACTTCACTGGCCACGGGGTGTGGACCTGATGCCCCTGCCAACCATAGCTTCCCCTCTACAGACCTAGTAGCTTCGGGCCTTGCTGCAAGCTCTGAAGCCTGGGCGCTTGCTTCCCCAGCTCTGCCTTCCTTCCCCAGCACTGCTCTACCTCCAGGAAGCCTCCTGCTTTCCTGGCAGTCAGGTCCCTACTACTCTCTGTCCAAGGCAGCATTCAATTCTCCCTTCTCTTCAGGAGTCCTTCTTTATATAGCCCAGCTGGGGCTTCATGCTCAGCCCTCTCTCAGGACTGGGGTTTTACCCTTAAAGGAGCAATGCGGGGCAAAGGCCCTCTCACAGGTGCCTAAAGCTCTCTGTGCAGATCTATGGAGGGGGCCCTTAAAGCTGCTGCTGTCTGAATGTGTTCTTGTAATGCTGTGGGCCCTGATGCACTATGAGTGTTCTTGTCGTCTCTTCCCTTTGCCTTCAGAATGTGATGCCTTGTGTGCAGCTGGAGGTCTGTGCAGTGATGTGTCAATATGGGTTTGTTTGTTTGTTTCTTTGTTTTGGTATTTTTGTTTTGCAAAGACCCCTCAAAGGATTCAAAATGTATTTCCAAGAATAACCGCTGGCCTCTCTGTGTCTTGGGGAGTGTCCAGTAGCCCCCATATTTTTCATCTCCATATAAATGTGCCTCCCCACATGGGAGGTCTCGGGGAAAGCTTCCCATCCACTGAAAGTCATTTCTCTAGCCATACACGTATGTTATCAGCGCATGTGGTCATAAGAATTGGGCGGTATGGGTTTCACCAAATTGTGTCCTGGGTTTGGGAGGCACCCAGATACCAGCTCTCCAGACAGTGACAAGGAAAGTAACGAACACTTGGGTGGATTCTGTTCAACAGACATCACCAGCCATTGTCCAGGAAGGGAGCCACAAAGCAATGACTCACCTGCATGAGGCCACACTCTCAGGGGATTGCTCAGCCTTGCCTGAGGACTCAACAATGTCCCTGAGGTGCCTGGACTTGAGTTCTCCCAGCACAGCCGCATGGGCTAAGAAGGGTTAAAAAACAAGCACAGGCCAGGTTTTGCCTTTCTCTGAAAGACGCTTGGCAGACTGAAGATTCCCATAGAGGAGGCTGTCCCAGGATTAAGGGTCAAACTTGTATATTAAGGACAGCAACATACAATGGAGTGAGGGAAACTGCCCAGTCTAGTTGTTGCCCAGTCTAAGAAGTTGAGAATTTAGACCACAAGCTTTTATTTAATTTTGGTAACCACTCTGGCTTTTCCCTATTATTGAATGCCACTTAAAACATATTTTTATATCAGCAAACTTGTTTTACTGATAGTCCAACCCCCTGCTCGAAGCAGGACCAACCCCAACCAAATTATTATAGTCAGGGCTTTGTCAAACCAGAACCTAAAAACCGCTAGGGATGTAGATTGCACCACTTCCCTAGGGAACCCATTCCAGTGCTTCACCCTCCCTCCCAAGGAAACAGTTTTTCCTAATATCCAACCTAGATCTCCCCCACTGCAACTAGAGCCATAGCTCCTTGTTCTGTCATCTGCCACCACCGAACACAGCCTGGCTCCATCGTCTTTGAAACCCCCCTTCAAGTAGTTGGGGGCTGCTATCAAATCCCCCCTCACTCTTCTCTTCTGAAGACTAAATAAGCTCAGTTCATAAGAACAGCCACACTGGGTCAGACCAAAGGTCCATCTAGCCCAGTGTCCTGTCTGCCCTCAGTGGCCAATGCCAGGTGGCCCCAAGGGGAATGAACAAAACAGGGAATCATCACGTGATCACACCCCTGTCATCCATTTTCAGCTTCTGATGGAGGCCAGGGACACCATTCCTACCCATCTTGGCTAGTAACCATTGATGGTCCTAACTTCCATGAATGTATCTGGCTCTTTTTTGACCCTGTTAAAGACCTGGCCTTCACAATATCCTCTGTCAAGGAGTTCCACAGGTTTACTGTGTGTTGTACGAAGTAGTTCCCTCAGCCTCAGCTCATTAGCCATGTGCCTATGCCCCTACTCATTTTTGTCGTCCACTGGACTCTCCAATTTGTCCACCTCCTTCTGCACTGGGGCCCCTTAAATTAGATACAATACTCCAGATGTAGTCTCACCAGTGCTGAGTAGAGGGGAATCTTCCCTCAATCTGCTGGCAATGCTCCTACTAATGCAGCCCAATGTGCTGTTAAACTTCTTGGCAACGAAGGCACACTGCTGATTCATATACAGCTTCTCATAATCCCCAGGTCCTTTTCTGCAGAACTGCTTAGACAGTCGGTCCACATAGTCCTGTATTTTGTTTCAGCTATACCAGACTAACACGGCTACGTTTCTATCACTGATCCACAGCCTGTAGCAGTGCTTGCGATTCCTCTGTCCAAAGGGCAGAATTCAGATTTGTTTGAGCAACAAGAATGATGAAATGATTAAAGGTCTAAAGAACATAACCTATTAAGGAAGACTGAAAGAATTGTGCTTGTTTAGTTTGGAAAGGAAGACTGAGGGGACATGATAGCAGTTTTCAAGTATCTAAAAGGGTGTCACAAGGAGGAGGGAGAAAAATTATTCTTCTTGGCCTCTGAGGACAGGACAAGAAGCAATGGGCTTAAACTGCAGCAAGGGAGGTTTAGGTTGGACATTAGGAAAAACTTTCTACCTGTCAGGGTGGTTAAACACTGGAATAAGTTGCCTGGGGAGGTTGTGGAATCCCCATCTGTGGAAATATATAAGAGCAGGTTAGATAGACATCTATCAGGGACGGTCTAGACCAGGGGTGGGCAAAAGGGCATCCGCGGGCCGCATCCTGCCCTCCAAGCTGGTGGATCTGGCCCCGTTGCTCCCACACCCCCAGGCCAGTTAGGGCCTGTGGGCGGGGGAATGCCCGAAGCCTTCTCTGCTCTGCTCCCGCCCTGTGAGCAGAGCATGGTGCTTCAAAGCACCATGTGCTGCTCGCAGAGTGGGGTGGAGCACAGAGGAGGCTTCACGTGCTCCCCTGCCTCCAGGCCAATTAGGGCCCGGAGGCGGGGGAGCTGCCTGAAGTTTCCTTCGCCCTGCCCCAGCCCTGCGAGGATCCCGCGGCACACAAAGCACCACGTGCTCCTCACAGGGCGGGAAGAGACTTTCCGCACTCCCCCGCATCCAGGCCCTGATTGGCCTGGGAGTGGGGGAGCGTACCAAGCCTCTTCTAAGGCATGGGTGCCTAGTGGGAAGGGGGGGGGGGGGCAAAGG